CAAAGCTCGGATAATTCTAGGCCAGGCTGAGTCGGAGGGCAGGCATCATTACGCAGCTCGCTTTGTCGCCTGCTGGTGCGTGAGTGACGCACGAAGACAACTTAGGCATTTAGATTCTTTATCTTAGGGTTAGTGCAACGATTTCTGCTAGTTATCTGACGTACGCGATTTTATTGTAACAAGTAATAAGTTGCCAGTGACTTTTTTTCCAGAAATTCTATTCGAGACTTGTGAAACTGGTCTGATAACGGTTTCGTCATCAGTTCAGTTTCGAACTTCTTCAATTTCCTTTTCTCGCTGCTTGTAAAGAATATACTTAATTAATAATTACGAGTACGTAGATCTAGTTATAGGTACCTACTTCTGCCCATCGTCAACACAGCCCTTTCATTAAACGTGATGCTTTATTTTTCCCTTACCATAATAATTGATTGGGTAGAGCTTTCATTAATTTATGACTCGCTCGTAAAGCTCGAGGGTGTGTCTATTAGACCAAGTGGTCTCTTACGCGACAAACACGACAATTACGCGTCGACTAAATCGCTGTGACTGCCGCGCGATAAGAACGGAGTACTTTACCTACAAATTACATTGCGTACGAGTATTCCGCACGCGCGTGTTATGTGCGTGTACCGGGACTTCTATTACGCGAGTTAATCGCGACGTGCGAGACTGATATAATTAAATTTCGGTATCCTCTTTTGTTTTTATTTATGATTCGGTGTTATCGTGCTTTGTGGCATGCTCTTCCTTATGTCCAGCACTGACTGATGTAGGCTGAAATGATGAAGAAGATTTATTTATGGCTATTAGAGAAAATTAACTGAGTAATATAACGACTATTTTATGTACCTACTAGCTTTCCGCCCGCGGCTTCGCCCGCGTGGAATTTTGTCTGTCACAGAAAAACAATATCGCGCGCGTATTTACTCACCGTTTAGACCTGGACTACGACAAACATTTTAAAACCAAAATCAGCTCAATCGGTCCAGTCGTTCTCGAGTTATAATCAGACTAACGAACATCAATTCATTTTTATTTATATAGATAGATAGATGATAGCTAGCGGCCGCCCGCGACTTCGTACGCGTGGATCCCGTTTTACCCCCTTGATCTATCTTCGGCGGTTAACTCCCGTTCCCGTAGGAATTTTGCAATATCCTGTTGTAACTAAGCTTTAAGTTTACTAAGGTACCTGCATGCCAAATTTCAAGCGTCTATCTTACGCAGTTTAGATTTTTTCATACATATGTTTTTTCCCGCTAACTCCCGTTCCCGTGGGAATTTTACGATATCCTGTTGTACCTAAGCTTTAAGTTTACTAAGGTACCTGCACACCGAATTTCAAGCATCTAACTTAAGCGGTTTAGATTTTTCATACAAAAGGATTTTTCCGCTAATTCCCGTTCCCGTGGTAATTTCGGGAATTCCTTTCTTAGTGCACCTCTACGGTACCTAAACTACGTCCCTTCCAAATTTCAAGTGCCTACGTTTAGCCGTTTAGGCTGTGCGTTGATCTGTCAGTCAGTCAGTCAGTTTCTCCTTTTATATATTTAGATATTAGTATCCATCAGGTGATATGCAGGCTAAAAGCTTTCTTGTTGTGGATATCAGCCTAGGTGCTTCAATTACACAGCAGCTACGATCTATTGTCAGAATTAAGAAGAAACGCAATACTAGTTTGTTAGAAATTCTGTGAACAACTAATACTCGTAGTTGAATTACAAACAAAAATCAAAGGTTTTCTCTAAAATAATCGAAATAGCTACGACATTCTCGGGTTACAAATCCATTAGTTACTGTTGTCGAGGTTAATGCTTAATGTCTTGACACCGAATACAAAAGCATGTGATAAAAGTTCAGACTGTCCCAAAATAAGTAGGATAAATTGGGCATAGGATTCAAGTAGTGCGTAAGATCTCGTACCCCACACACGTGCGTCGCGGAGTCACGCGGCGGGCTACGTGGCAGGCCTACCAACGGCCCTTAGTTAACTCCGGCCAATCAAGACAGACCCCCAATATTTCAACACTTATCCCCTCTTCAACCCTCAAAGTTTCCTGAAGGCGAGGCACCGAAGTTCTCCTTAAGTTGGCGCGGTCATAACACTGTCCATGACTACTCCAACACGTCCTATTCTACGCACATCAGCGTAATGTTGAATTGGCACGATTCGGCTAAATAGCCCGCAATCGAATGTCTTATATGGAGAAATTGGGAGACCTAATAGGTCTGGTAAGTATCTGGAAAAATCTCCGATGAAGTAACTAGAATGTGCTGAAAGCATCTTGAAATGTCATCTGTTTTCCTGTTTCTTTGTGCGAATCTAGAAACCTGCACAATGGCTCAGCGTTCCGATTACAATACAGAACAAAATTACAGCCATGTATATCCACTTACCTAACAAAAGTGTAGAGAAGAACTGTGAGTGAACTGAGTCGCACAAAGTGGCTAATCGGGCAACTTTTACGTGATATACTTGGTTGACACTTGTGGAAAACATTCCCCTGTTGTGGCTGAAAATTGAAAATCTCATCGCAAAATTAATGCCGCCTCCAGCGAGCGAAGTTGCGCGTAGAGTGGGCTGCACTCGAGATCTAATTGCACTAACAAGACACTGTTACCAACTTGCGCATTTAATTACTGTACACTGAAAGATGAAACTCTTCAGAGTTGCCGCCATCTGCTGTGTGGGGTACGGAGTCATCCCATTACTAGTTTCGCGAGTGGGGGAGATAAATAGTGATCAACTAGACTCTAGTTACTAGAGATAACTGGTCGATGTAGGATTGTAGGGTCTGTGGAAAAACTTTTCTTTGAACTGGTATTCTAACTTCAAAAGTTACTGTTCAAGATCTACCTACATTTAATTCTTTAGTATTCAGTTTTTTTGAAGTTGATGAAGACAGAAATACATTTTACTCAGACCTAGACTAATCCTAGACCAAGCTGGGCCATTAAGTAAATTACTGTTTTAAGCATTAAATATGACGAAAATATCTAACCTTTTACAAGGTTTTTAACTTAAGACTTTAACTTGAACTAAGAAGGTGTTTCACGCTCGTATCAGAACACGAAAGCACCCATTAATCTGTACTAAGCCTGAACTTTTAGTGGCTGTGGTTGAACAATGGACTTACGCTATTTGAAGAGTTTCTTCCACTTAGAAAGGTATTGAGCTTTTTACAATCTTTCCACGCTTTAAAGAGGCACAGTATTCAGGTAATTCTAAAAGTTTGAATCTCGTGTTGATATCGGAAAGTCCTAAAACAGTAAATAATTCAGCTACTTTTAAAAATAAACACCCAACAATGAGGCTAGCACTCACAACAGTTGAGTAACGCGAAGCTTGCCCGAGTTGAACAATGGTCTGTGTAATTTGAATTCGCAAAGCAGTTTGCTCTCTATTGAGTAAAGTTTCTTCTGCTACAATTTTTATTGTTCGACACAGAGTAATTGCATATTAACTAGCAGAGAAACAAATGCCTCCTACAGTGCCACAAAAGTTTAAAAGAACCCTTGTTTACCTCATTGCTTTGTTATTGTTGAATTCGAATGGTACTTGGAATTTTTCTGGGAACCTCCACCAATACAGGCAGTATGTTCTAAACACTGTGTCTTAAATACATATTAGGTATCGTAATGAAAGCTATTTTCCAAGACTAGACTGACGTACTATCGAGTGTAGGCATCCTAGAATATAGCTTATAGAGCGAGTTCAGGAAATTGACTTCTCTAATGCCTGTCATCTTCATCGATCAGCTGTTCGAACATCAAGACTAATCTCAATGTATTTCCATACAATAAAGTTCATTGCCCCTGAAAGGATATAAGCCTTTTAACACGTACGCACCTCACGAGGGTGGCTCGCCTTCGATTCGCCTTCAACAAGATTAATATTCGTGGCGAGTGATGGCCACCGTAACAATACAATGGCGCATGCATTTAGTATAATGCCCATATAATGTTTCGATGAAATTGCTTGGCCCTCGCGTGTTCGTCTTCAGTATCATGGGTACCTTCGGGGCACGCGTTTCGTCCTAAGGTTATTAAAATCGTATCAGTGATTTGAGTGTCGTTTTTGTGGAGATAGAGATAATGTCTTAATTGTTGTGGCAGTGACCTTCGCAATGTGTTTGTTAGTGTGTGTGTAGAGGGAGGCATGTTGAAGTTTTGCTCACCGGTGGCGAGGCGCCGGCAGCCGAATGCGGTTTGTAACTTCTACACAGTTGTGCTCTTGTTTGCGGAAATGTTTAATGCGATGTGATTTTAATTCTAGTTTAGGATTACAGGAGTTGGGTTGCGAAAATTTAGGAGAATAGTTTGTAAAAGGGTAATGCATTCTGATTTTACGCTTTACCTACAAAAGCTATGAAAACATAAGGTTTTCGATTGACGTTCAAAGGTCAATTATTATAACCGAAGCAGATATTGATAGGATTATTCTCGTTTTTTTCTATTCATCATCTTAGACTTCTTTTAGAGTTATTATTTCCGATTGATTTGATTGTCTTGTATCGTACTTATTTAAAAAAATGCTGATTCCATCTACAGCTCTGAATAAAGAGTCATCTAGGCATTTGTAGGACGCACGTTTTTTTGAGGCTGCTTATAGAATCTTATCTAATTCCATCTCAAAACCCTACAAGGTTTCTACTTCCCATTAAACTGATTAAACTTACCAATCACGTAATTAAATCGTAATCCAACTGGAATATTGCATTGTAAATCGTCATAAATGAATATTCATGGTATGATTGTCAAATTACTAAATCGGGAATGCTCATTGCGCCCGGCGATTAGCCGCGATAATCTAGGTGTAGGCGCACACTAGGCGACACGCGACAGTGCAGCGACAGCTCGGCGACTAGATGCGATGGCTGTTAGCTTTCATATACAGGGTGTGGTTTTGTAAAACAACGCCCATCTAAAGGGTGGAAGGAAGTATACTCGACACTGATGCCAAAAAAAAAATATTTTAAATTTTCATGAAAAAAATCATGAAATCAGGAAAATGGTATTATTACGCGGGCGAGCTATCGGTCAGTCCCCCCGCTCTCCCGGGGCGGCGGCTGCATGTGTTCGGTGGTGGAGCGGGGTACGTGGAGGTGGTGGGGGCGGTAAAAAGCGCCGCGCCGTTTCGAGAGTTTTAGGAGACGTTTGAACAAGGTTTTTTGATATTAAAATTTTATTTATATTTTTCTTGTAATTACTTTCATGTGTAGCTACCACCCCTAAGATGGGAGTTGTGTTACAAAACCACACCTTGTATTTTGGATGCCGCGACTCTGACGCTTAGTGGGTTAAGCTTTGAACAAAATATATGAAATTGTCGGCCGTCATCGCGTCTAGTCGCTGTCGCCTGTCGCCCTGTGTGCGCCTACAGTAGAGTTGCATGTTAGAAAGACATACTGCGAGCACGCGAGTGTTAAACTAGTAATTTATTCTAGGGTGAAATTAGTTGGCATTTTAAATTTGCTGTAAAATAGTATTTTTAAGGAGACTTTACGACTTCTGGAAAGCCCCAAGTATCGTTTTTATTTGTTTTTGTTGAAAGGACGAGGGAAATTGATATAAATACTGGTCGTAGGTATATTATAGTACCTATTTGTGATACAAGGATAGTCCCGCGACTGCGCTCGCGTACTTCTGAAAGTCCTTACTTATCTGTCGCACACGCTCATGCATCTCCTGAACATACTCGTATCATTCCCTAACTAAAGCATCGTAGGTGCTTAAGTATTCTATTAGGTAATATACAGGCTGTCCCAGAATGGGTGAATCAAACTGCTAGGGGAGATAGCTCTACTAATGTACTTTCCCTAAAAAATATGAAAAAAATAAATAAAGCGCATAAGGACACAATTTTTTTTTATTGAAAATAAATCTACTTTGCCTAAATATCTGGCTATAATTGCTGCGTTTGGAGTTTATTAGTACTTTTTTCTTACTAATATTAATTGTACATGATCGCTTCGTCTATCTGTAAACAAACTTTTGAGTTTAGAGCACTTAATTAAAAAAAAACCGAAATCATTTTTTTTTTCATATTAGGGATAGTCGTACATTAGTAGAGCTGCCTCCCCTAGCAGTTTGATTCACCCATTCTGGGACACCCTGTAGATTACTCACTGTGTATAGTTATAGCTATCTCGTTATGTTTTAATGTTGTATAGTAAAATAGGCCGTCTGGTTTTTTGATCTCAATCACATTGCTGCACACGGCTGTGATTGCAACATTTACGGATATCTCATGCCGATGTGTCATCCAAGGATTTCATAAAATACACATTACGATGCACGCACTACTCACCCCATGTTGTGACGACATAATTTGATGTCACTCCTTTTAAGGTGAGTATCGACTTGAGCATTTCTGTGTAATGTAACATGCTTACGAACGGAACAATACATGTAAAATGTACAACGTTTGGTTCATGACACTGAAACCAAAACATTTCATAGAGCTGTTCGTTGTTCTGTTACAAGTAAATGCTCTGTCTATACTCACCTTAACTTCTTACTAATACTTAACTCTCTCTTATCTTATCTTAATTTCTTCCACAATAATCATTTTCCAATTGCAGGTGAACCCGGGTCGCAAGGCGTCCCTCAGCGGGATCCGGGAGGGCGACGTCATCTCGTCCATCAACGGGCGGCCGACCAAAGCCATGACCAACGCCGACGCCCACGCCATGCTGCGGTCGGCTGGCCCGGTGCTGCGGCTCGGCTTGAACGAGTAAGTAGGAAAGTATATGTAAATTGACGTCATAAGTAGAACAAGGGCACAATTAAATTTTTAGAAATGTTATAGAATGTGCTCTTGCACTACTAATGTTACTCTAAAACTCTCTTTTGCATGAAAAACTATTTTTTTAGGTTTACAACCACCCGACTGTAGTCAATGATTACAGGTAACAAATGCAAAAAAAATGCATTAGCATAGAGATCCAATTTGAAAACTTTTTTTCATTGTCTGTTAGAGCTATATTATGAGCGATGGTGCTTCAAGGTCTTCAAACTTCAGATTAAAATTCGTATTATATGAAGATAAAATTTTAGTATTTTACGTAAGTCTATTACAGAATCCATTACGAAATTGAATCTGTCACGAATATTATATTGTCTACCTACATGCATAGTCTATACGTGGTTGCGAGCTTTCGTCACAGCAAAGGAATCTATACTTCTATACTAATATTATAAATGGGAAAGTAACTTTGTCTGTCTGTCTTGCTTTCACGCCTAAATCACTGAACCGATTTTGATGAACTTTAGCACAGAGATAGTTTGAGTCCCGGGAAATAAGGATAATAAAGGTAAAGGATAGTTTTTATCCCGGTTTTTGAAACAGGGACGCGCGCGATAAAGTTTTTCTGTGACAGACAAAATCCCATCGGGCGAAGCCGCGGGCGGAAAGCTAGTGGTTGATAAAATAATTATCATGCAGATAAGGAGTCGCTAATAAAGTCCACTAAGCGGCAATAGAGCCCTTTTTGGGTCGCGTGCGCATAGTTATCGTATATTACTTTGACAATTATTGCTAATTAGCTATATCGGGGCACAGATAGTACACAACGACGGGGCTCATCAGTGTTAAGGCATATAACGATTAAACTTAAGGCTTACATAAAGTTTATGCCAATATAAAGCCTTGTTTTGACGTCTAAAGTGAATAAACATAGATAATATTAATTTAAATTAAGAAAATTTTGGCAAGGATACAGGAAATATTTAGCTCGACCAGCTATCATAAAATTCATAACCTTAAAGTTTTAATGTCCTCATATTCCAGTGCACGGCTTTATTATTTCTATTGGCTGAACTAAAGCTCTTAAAAGTTAATAGTTAAAGCTTTTCAAAATATCCCTTATATTTATTCTGGATTGAATATGGTGATGATGTGACTAGAAATAGTCAAAGATGGTTAGTGTAGACTGGCTCTATATTTCTCTGTCTGGTGGGTAGACTTGTGTGCTTATATGCGTTTAATCCCCGAAGGGCCCGAAGTGTGCCAACCAAAACAAAATTAATTTACATAAACATTACTTGCATGGAATGAGGATTATGTTTATTTTACTGACATTTGGAAAATACTGGATGTTTTATTATGTACAAGCTTACCGAAATTAGCGGCTTCGCCCGCGTAAAAGATTTTTGACAATACATAAACAATTTAGTTGTTAAAAAAACTTTAATCTCCTATTTCACCACTTCATGACATAAATTTTGAATTAAGTAAATTGCACCTAAAGTATAAATTAATAAAGGCTTACTCTCAAAACTAGAATCATCTATCGTTAATTGTTTAGGCTGGGCGTTGTATACTCAATAAGTCTAAAAAATTCAGTGATGTGTGTGTGAAAGGATGATGGGCACTTTTCTATGGAATCTGGGCGCAAAACCAACAGAAATGTAACTACTATTATTTGTTAGGACTTAGTATCAGAAATATATTTTCATATAAATAACTACCAAAAACTCCCGGGTTTGCTTGGAAATTGACATAATGTATAATAGTCATAGGTGTTTTAATGCGCAAACAAAAATATTATTAATTAATATACCTACATTGATACATTAAGTTATTTATCAATTATTATGTCCGAGTGGGGCCAACAAATGGAATAAAATAAGTACCATGTTCTACATTACGTGCGTAGGACCACACCTACTCGTAGGTACCATTTTGAGAAATGAAATGAACACAGTCATGTTTCAATGGGATTTCTACCAGTTAAGCTGTAGGTAGTGTTGACGCATAATCGATCACGAATCGATTATTAATCGATATTGCCAAATAACGATTTATCGATTAACAATTCGATTAATCGATTTCATTGATTACCATCATCACTATCATTTGATTGTTAGTTTGATTCCTTATTTTCAGCATTATACTCGATTACTGCTGCAATCGAATAATCGATTGTGATTTATTCGGTATACTTACACACTTAATCGATAGAATCGATAGTAAGATATGATACAATACTATCAATATGATTGATACAAGCAATTAAATTGACCTAATACTATTTTTATTACCCTAGTGTGATGTGAAATACTATGGAAACTTTGCATATTCAATGACCTCTATCTCCGTATCCCCGCGTATTTCAGGATTGTTGTCATACTATGAAATGAAGTACTAGTATTAAGCTTTAATTTAGTATACTTTTTGTTTCTGTTGGTTCAACGCCCAATTTGCCCATCATCCTTTCCAATTTAGTGATTATAAATATTGCCATATGTTAGTCCATTTCTAATTTATAGATTTTTCAATATCCCCATGACCTATTTTAGTCCAATCCCGGAGCTCAATTAAATCCCGTCTTTATGTAAGTCCGTCTAATACCTCTGAGGTGTTAGACACCAGAATCCTTGCTTTATTAACGTCGCCTGATGGCGAATGGGCCATGTTAGGGATGTCCCGATAACGGTTATACCGATAAATAACGAAATCGGTATTTTTATGCAGTGTCTATAATTTTACTATTACTGAGGAATGTAGCATTTAAGGGGAGACAAATATTTATTTTGACTCGAAAAGAAAGAGCCAATGTTTGGTTTATTTGATAACGAGATACATTCTTTCAAGAAACCTTAACAGTTAATCTGGTACAAGATATTTTGATTCAGATTTTTGCGAAGTTCAAATAAGTATTAAAAATAATAGTTTTTAGCTGAATACGATTGACATTAAGTTCCCTTAAATACTAAAAAGGAAGTACAGAGACACGTTGCGTTCTTCTTGAAAGTCTCTCGATCTTACCGGTACAAGTATACCTATATAGCTATTTCGGTAATTTGCGGTATTAGTGTGTGGCCTACCTATTGCACTTCCGGTAAATTGTGGTATTTGTGGTACATCCCTACCCATTCGGTGTCTGGCGCTAATCCGATCACTCGCTCCGGAATCGAACGTGGGACCGCTCGCAGATTACTCGTGACGCAAATTGGAGCACTTAGTATCTGTATGACGCGCCTAATGGGATTCTGTGCCGTGCGAGATCACGTAGGTAGAGCAATGGGATTAATATTCATAGAAGCCAAGCTCTTAAAAGCTAGCCACAAACAATACCTCTGATAGGTGTAAATCCTCATTCCTCAGGAATTTACGGTTAGGCGTAGCTGAAAATCAGCGTTGTGACCTTTCCTTAGAACAAAAGCTGAGCCACGTTTCTCTATATTTGTACTGTGTTAAATACAGTTTTTTTATTTACTTATTATAAATTAATAATTCAAATTCGGGTAAACTGAATAACGTATTTCCATGTGATATAAAAATTTAAACAGACACAGATCGCCCTTATTAAAAAGAATAACCCATGGTTTTCTGAGCTTAAGAGCGCTTTCACATTAGGGCGTTAGTAGCGCGACCGCAGCGCGACAGTGGCGTTTTTATAATGTGAAGGGATGCATCCGGTGAATTCCGGTGTCACATAGTATGAAATTTTCGGCAGCGTGTCTGTCGCGCTGCTAAATCGCCTGTGAAAGCGCTCTAATAGAGCCATTGCCACAGAGCTTTTTATGTAGCTAGTGACTTGGCTAAACTTATTTTTGATTGTAGAGAATAAGGATACTGAGAAAATTAAATCTTAGATAGAGTCGATTTTTCGTTGTAATCTTAGCGTTTCAAAAATGCCCTGTATTGGTTGTTGACCTACACAATGCTCGAACCCAATTAGTTTGTGTAACCGCAAATTGAAGTGTGCTTATCATGCGCAAACCTAAACTGCCACGCCATGCCCATTCGTTTGTCATCAATAGTTACAATAGTTGCGGTTTGCGGCTCGTTCACATCGTTATTCATGTTGTTATAGTATAATCATAGACCGCGTTTATGTAGCGAAGGATTCCATTAATATATGGTGTAATAATTAGGTACAATAATCAGTAAGGATGAGTTTGTTGCGGCGCTTCTTCTCAGCACTTGCCAAATGTTTGTCTCGAAGCGTTGATAGGGCAAAAAGAGAATGAGACATGTATAGGCTCCATAAAAGCATTTGACGATATGTAAGTATAGCCTGACCAGGAACATAAAAACCCTGGCATAGAGGCGCGTCAATGGACATGGCGCACAATTTTTGTTGAAGATGCCAAAATAAACTACAAAAAATTAGAATGAATACTGTATTTTTACTTTTTTGATATCTTTAAAAATGACTGAAATATTAAAGCTCAAAGTGCGCTCTTCCGCTAGGAGCGATTTTCCGCGCGGATTTAGAAAATGTGACGTAGTAACATGAAAAGCTGCATGTAAGATATTATCTGTGTGCAATGGTTAGAATGGTTAGTAGGGGAGCCGAAGCGAGGATTTCGGGACTTACCTACTAAAGAGTGGCAGACTAACATACAAGGAAATACTTTGTACCTGGTTGATTACCTCTAAGTATGAATTTTTGATATAAAACGGCATTAGTTCTTATGCCTCTCACCCAAAAAATACCTAAATTAAGCCCAAATTTGAGACCGCAGCCAAACTTTGAGTGACGATGGAAACTAGCCTAGATGGAGGTCACATGAAATTGAACTTCTGCTTCTTCATTGATAAAGACTTATCATTTACCATACCTTATCATTTTGTATACCATTTACAAATCACTTTTTTTCACTTACTGTTTAAACAAAACGTGGGATTTTTTTAAATCTCAGGTCTTTTAAACGCACATCTGAACGATGTCTGGTTTTAATTTCTTCAGTTACTCCGTGACCATGGCGCTTGCAACAGTGCCAAAATATTGGAAACTCAAAACTAAGGTACATGGTAGCAATCCCGTCAGTAATATAATAGGAAAATGTCTTGAAAAATAAGTAAATCGTATATTACTTTATGTAACTAATTTTATTATGTATCATACTTATAACTAATTACTTCATTCAGAACTAGAAAACGATTCCAAGGATTCCACTTTTCTTCAATAGATGATCAAGATATAGAGTTATCTACACTAATATTATAAAGAGGAAAACTTTGTTTGTTTGTTTGGTTGTAATGAATAGGCTCAAAGACTACTGGACCGTTTTTAAAAATTCTTTCACCATTCGAAAGGTACATTATCTACGAGTAACATAGGCTAAATTTTATTTTGAAAAAAAAAATAGGGTTCCGTAAAATATGTAGATAATGTAGTCAAAGCGCGCGAAGCCGCGGGCGGAAAGCTAGTCTATTATATAAAAGAAAGTCGTCTTAGTTACTCCACTTATAACTCAAGAACGGCTGAACTGATTTAGCTGAAAATTGTCAGGGAGGTAGTTTAGAGCCAGGTGAAGGACATAGGATACTTTTTATCCCGTTATTTATTGCCATTAAGGCGGAACAAAGTTCGCCGGGTCAGCTAGTTTATTATAAATTGCTCTTCCACCATTTCAATTATTCTATCTTACGTCTAACTTGATGAAATCTTTTTTAATTTTATTTACATGGTCATAACATTTTCACCATTCCTCTGCACCACTTTGTGAGTTACACCTGAAACCCCCGAAAAGCAGCTATTATAAGAATAATATTTAAAAAAACCCTCCTTCTGACGCAGTTAGGTAATAAACTAAATGTATCCAATTTTACTCCAACTTACTGTTAACTCAACGACGCGCTTTAAAATCAAAGATTGACTTTGAATTATGCCTTATTTTACAATACACATTGAAAACAATATGACTTGCTTGAGCTTTTTCGACTTTTTCACAAAAATAACAAATAGGCATGAAGAGATTACAAAATTTCTGCAGCGACTGACAGTTCACTTGATTTACGTTGACAGGTGACAATAAAGCCATAGACATTTGCCCTAAGAAAGACACACTTTTCCAATATTTTTGTTTGCCATGAGATTCTGGTACACCTATACCTATCATTTAATGAAAAGATAAACTAAACTTTTTCAGCACAACGAAAATCTGCTTTGGCGCGTAGCAATGCAACGTGACAACTACAGTTCGGACTTGTTTATGCGTCCACTACACATAAAATAAAATTCGAACTATCGCACATTTTTTCTTTTTAATTCTAATTCAGTAAAAAATATTTTTGAAACCTTCATTCAAAATTCAAAAGTTATTATCATATTATGACAGAACTTATGACCAGACTATGTACTATCGCCAACAGTGTTAACTGCCCATTGAATGTCATGTCATCTCGTTCTATCGCAAAGAATCGCCATTTGATTAGACCGAGAGCAAAAACGGAAATGGATAGTTAACAGTGTGGGCGTGTGTACATTGAATAAAATATTTTTCTTTTTATCATCAAGCTTAGCAGTCTAATATGTTACTATGACACTCGAGTTAATCCACATTCAGCACCATAGCCTCCCCTTCTACAAGGCCCTCTACAAATGTCAAAACGTCACTTAACCCTTTTAGCACCAGTTCTTTTGTTTTTGAGAAGATGTACCCAAATTTTTCGATTGGTACAAATTAACGTGGTTACCTGGAAAGTGTTCCGTGAGTTTTGAAAATTGGTGATTAATTAAATAGATTTCGCTATGCTCTCTGATAGTCTGTTAGTTAAGTGTGATTGCCGCGCTCGTTGCGAAATTGGAAAAATGCTGCCTTATAGAAGATTTTTGATAGTTACATTCTTTCCTATTTCGTTGTTCCAAATGACGTTCACTGCTGGACAAAGGCGAGAGGCCTTTGGGTTTTCCATAGGTTTTTCATAATGAACAGTCCTGCGCTGCCCGCATTCAGGTTCTTCCCGCGACCTTTACCAGATCGTCGGTCCACCTAGTAGGAGGCCTGCCCACGCTACGTCTTCCAGCCCGTGGTCGCCACTCAAGAAATTTTCTGCCCCAATGGCCATCGTATCTACGAGCTATGTGTCCCGCCCACTGCCACTTGATTTTAGCAATTCTGCGTGCTATGTCGGTCAATTTGGTTCTCTTGCGGATCTCCTCATTTCTGATTCGATCACGCAGGGAAACCCCGAGCATAGCCCCCTCCATTACCCTTTGGGTGACCTTGAGCCTTCTTATGAGGCCCATAGTAAGCGACCACGTTTCAGAACCTTAAACTTTCCTATTTATTTCACGACTAGCTTTTGCCTGCGGCTTCACCCGCGTGAAATTTAGTGTCACAGATCGGCATAAATTATAGCCTATATGTTAATCTGGGTTACAAATCTATACTTATAATAAATCTGTAGAGAGGTCAATTCTGTACATGAAATATATTTTCAAAATAACTATCAGGGGGTGATTAGTGATCGATACTGATGCCAAAAATGCAATCAGTAAAATTTTTGTCTGTCTGTCTGTCTGTCTGTCTTTCTGTCTGTCTGTCTGTCTGTCTGTCTGTATGTTCCTTATAGAAACAAAAACTACTTGACGGATTTTAACGAAACTTGGTACAATTATTCTTCGTACTCCTGGGCAGGTTATAGGATACTTAGGAATTCCCACGGGCACGGGAATTAGCGGGAAAATCCTTTTGTATGAAAAATCTAAACTGCTTAAGTTAGACGCTTGAAAGGATGATGGGCACAAATGTATGGAAAGTGGTACCCGCTCCAATAGCCATAACCAATATATATTTTAAAAGGCCTTTAGATGTAGGAAAATGTCTGCTATGGGGCCAGTTCTAATTCACGTTTTGAAAGCAGTAATTCCACTAAGTATTATAATGAAAGTATAACATAATCATCCATGTATACGAGTATGTATTATGACTACAATCTATTCATATAACTAAAAGAAGCATTGAAAAGGAAAGGATTATACCTACGATGAACTACCCAAGCTATTAGCCCTTTATTCGCTTTCATCATCATCATCATGATCATTTTAGCCATAGGACGTCCAGTTGAACATAGGCCTCCCCCAATGATTTCCACAATGGCCGGTTGGTGGCGGCCTGCATCCAGCGCCTTCCCGCTACCTTTATGAGGTCGTCGGTCCATCTTGTGGGTGGACTTATTGGGTCTTGTGGGTTTATTC